CCTGTGCAGACCTGTGTCCCACGTGGATAGTTTTGTCAGCGGAGCTCAGGATGAAGTCGCCGGCAAGGTGGACATGTCTTCCATCTCATCCTCGTGGTCGTCTCTGCAGCGAATACCGCGAGATAAGTGTGGTATACATCCCGCTGTGCTGTACAGATCTTGGTGGGGTGGTGCTGCTCTGTGGAACGTGCTGATGGTGGAGATGTCATCTTCGAGTTTGCATTTTGGCAGAGTCACCAGTCGGGGTGGCGGGAGACGGTGTCTGCGGCCTCGATGCTTCACGCCAGGTACATTGGTCATGTGAATCTGTATCCTTAGCGTCTTTTCCTTCAGGTTTCTGAGACGCCACGTTTGATATGTCATTGAGTTGATCTGTCGCAAATAACTTGAGAAGTGGCTTGTGGGTCCACGGCAATTATTAGTCCTCGCATCCAGCCGCAAGTATCCAAGCCTTGTCTAATGCGTCGCAATGGCAAGGGCTTCGCCGCTTCTACTGGGCCATAGCGTGATTCGGGCGGGGTTGGTGAAGGCGACTGCCTACCAGTTTATCTCCACCAGTAGGAAAACAAAACAATTCTGTCTTAGCGCAGAGTGCAGTGCTTCTGAAAAAGCCAGAATCTTATTCGATTTGGACCAGGTCTGCTGGCCAAGACAGTTGTTGGCTTTGATTTGTGCGACAGATTCGTAGCGCCCTCTTCTTATCGTCGATCCACTATCTTCAGCTTTTGATTCTTCAGTAATTCTGTCAGGGTGATTTCCAGTGGAATGCTGTTCCAGGCTGCAGGATACTCGCGGAATGAAGCATCTGTTCTGTCATGCTGAAGGCGTATACACCTGGTGAACGAGCCCGAACCAACAGGGATTGTTGAGTGATGTTCCTTGGTTGGAAGTCTATGATCGCTTAAGGGAATTGCTGCAAGGCTCTCACGGCTGTCTGGTGTAATCCTCGAACCCGGCAAATGTAACGGTGCGCCTTGGCCAAATACAGAATTTCTCAGGGTTGAGGGTTATCCCGTTCCATGCCGCAGATATCTAAACCAGGTTTACATGCCTTGTAGAAACTTTTCTCCAGGACTGTCGGCCCAGGGTAGTTGTGTTGCGTTGATCATTTTGTTTTGTTGGGGACAATCAAGAACAATCTCGTCAATTCTTCTGGATGTACCGTCGCCGCGATGCAAGTGTTAGCCCTGTGGGGCTGTGCGGATAACGGATATCTTCCCCAAGCGTGTGATTGCAAGGTGGTAAGGTGCTTATCTTCTTCCCGACTACACTGTGATAGCTGCTTCACGCGCCCCCCTCGAAAACCAGTTTTTACCGTCCCATGTGGGAATTGGACCGCCGCTTGGTGGAAATGGGACTGTGTTGGTGTGGGTTTCACGTGTTGATGCATTTAAGTGGTTGCATGTCAACTTGTCCGTCTCGGCCTTGCCGTTTTCTTTGCCACAAACGACCAGCGTGGCACCATGTCACTGGTTCACCTACTGGTACTGTTCTTAGTATTGCCAAGGCCGTAGCGTCTCTGTCCATCAGCTTTACGTCGTTCTCGCCAATGCGATGCGGTACAGGCAACGCGGAGAATGTACTGCTACGGGTTTGGCATCGTAGGTCCACCATTAGATGTAGCGGGGGGCCTTCCGATCATCGGCAGTGGTTGGTGTTCGCACGTGTTTGAATGGGGCTAGATTTTGGTAACGATCCAGAAGGTATTGTCTCAGCTGGCTCTCGATTGCTTCAGCTTGCTGGGAAGATGAGTAGCACTCGGACGTGTGGTGCGGCAGGCTGGCCGCGAGGACATTCGACATCGCGGTCGGTTGAGCCCGCCTGTGCATTTTCGTCGCGAGCTAGGTGCGTCATCACTACCAGAATGTACGCCTGATCGGTGTTTGGTTGACCAAACGGTTGGGAATGTAGTCTCTGATCATGCCTTAGTTGCGAATGGCAAGCTTCTCTGGCTGATGAAGAGGTTTGTCTGGCGCCCAGATGTTTGATGCCCTTTGTCGTTGGCCTGCATCAGTCCGCGAATGTCATGGGATGAGGTCGGCCTTACTTTAACCGAGGCCGATTGATGACCTTGATACTTCGCCATGGAACTTGCAACCAGTGTCAAGCCATTTAAGGAATGACGACGGACGCTGGGGTGTGGATTGATGAGCTTGAGGACAGATCGTTTGCCTAGTCTTCAGGGGTGTGTGCCACTGTTGAGGGTTAACGACGGCCCTGAGGTTTGGACTTCCGCTGTATCCAAATGTCTGATAGCTTGGTTGTAGAATTAATTACGGGTGGTGGTCGAGAGTGTAATACTTTCCACCGTTTGACCTGCTTCGGCAGCAGGCAGTATGGTGATTGGAGCACAAGTGGTCGAATACCGCACTCGTTCGTGTTCATCAAAGGTGACTTTGCCATTTCTTGTAGCTTAGCATTGTTCCTGCCTCTGCACTGTGCTGTCAGGAATTGTCGTGGTTCTGGTTGTCACAGTTTTTGGCGATGGTGTGGCCATAGCAGGCGATTCTGGTCTTCTAACCGTTGGGGGTGGGTTGATGGACTCCGTGGCCTTTTTTACCGACAGTATGAGGCACAATTCCGAGCTTGTATTTTCCCCTGTGAATTTCGTATTGTGATACCTGCTGCGATCTTTTTAGAGAATTGTTCAGCTGCCCGTTTATAAGAGCTGCATGATGCTTCGCGACCATTAGTGTGTGGGTTCGGATGGAGACGCAGCCGGGAGCGCTTGCCGCGATACTTTCGCCTAACAATTGAAACCCCTTCAAGTGCAGTTTCCTGGGGGTCTGTGTCCCCGAGTCAGTGTCAAGTTGTATTTCGCGTTGTTCTCAGTGCCTCGCGTGTTAGAACATCACGGAGTACGGCTCTGTGTAGTCACGTCGTCTGAACAACCAGGACACGGCTATGATGGAAGACTTGCAGCTTACCCCAGCTTACCACGGAGACGAGCGCCGAATGAATACGGATTGGTTCGTCACGGTCCTGGGCACATGTTATGCTAAGGGTTAACCCGTGGCAACCATGGTGTGTTTCTTCCCTTACAGCGATGTGTTTTGAATGTGGCTTTTTCATACGTTGCTGTTCAGATTGTGTTTGCCAGCTGCCCGCCACGCAGCATTGCGTGTTGGAGGTTCTTTCCGCTGTGAAAAGGGGTTCGAGTGCAGCAGAACGAGGGTCGCAGTAAGCGGTGGGAGGTCACCTTGGTGCCTTGGAGGCCGTGACAGGGCTTATAGTCGGCGTTCGACGATAGTGAGTGGTCCATGCTGATAGTTGGAGTAGGACGCAGCTTCGCGTGGTGGCCGGCGGCAAGACTATAGTGGTGGTTGTCGACGCGCTTGGGTCCACCTCGCAGTGGGGACACTGTGGGCGGGTGGTCGCGTGGTGGATGGGATGGGTGCGTGGGGGCGGTCGGTTAGGTGACGCGAGCGCGCGGCTGGGCGGTGCGCACAATTCAGCGACGTCCGGGGGGAGGGCGGCCGGGCGGGGGCCGGCGCGTCATCCCGTCGCGGACCTGGGTTGACTGGGGCAGTCACAATAACCGGGCTGGCGGTTTGGTGGAGTCCCCGGAGTTGTCAAGCGATAGAAGCGAGAAATGCGAGATAGTCAGAAAAGGACGGATCACATGAGTACCATCATAATAGCAACACGTCCATTTCGCTAACATCAGTCTTTATTCCGCATACAGCATTACAAAGAATGACTGCGGACTCAAGTCTGAGAAACCAGATAGAAAGAGCCGTTACTTGTGGTATATTATTGTTCTACTTTCCAGACCAAGTCATGATCCATCGGGGGTCCAACGCGGTCTAACGAACGTCGCGCTCGGAGAGTTCTATCTGTTGAAGCTTTGGGGAAGGCCTGCGTTAATGATTGACTCTTCCGAGGGCTGGTACGTGAACTCCTTTTGATATCTGTGAACTTACTAGATTATCTACTCCTGAAATACTTGCAGGACAATTAATATATAGGTAATTGCAGCTGCACTAGTTAGCTATATTGCATCCATATATTTATATATGAAATATATAAATTATATATTTATATATATATCATATAATTGCTTTTATAACCAAGGCAATGGCATTGAAACCATGAATTCCAGCTATATGCCACCCCCACTAACGTGCTACTTTGTTTACTTTGTATGTAATAGGACCATTATCCAGTAGAGGCATCACCTTCACAGGTGTGCTGCTCTACACAGCACAACTACAAAGAACAACAGCAAGAGAACATCCAGCCATCTGGGCAGCCATTTGCTGGTTGGCATCAGCAAGAGTACTGGGTATGTGTCACTGCTGTTGTTTAATAAATAGTCTACATGAAAGTTAGGGCTGTATACAAAAATGATAAAAATCAAAGTGGATATTTTCGTTCCTGACCACTCACAGAATGCCTTACATGACCACCGCCGTGCACCGATCAGTGATTATTCAGTAGCAGATATAGCGACCATAGAAATAGCTAGCCCCTACCTATAAAAATATTTAGCTTTAATTATATGAATGAATTGCATTTAATTACTTTAAATATTTTATGTTTTAGCCACGTAGTTACGCTTGGCAGGGGGCTGCTGATAGTTCCTTCAGCAATTCGTGGAGATTGGAACAGGCATGAATTTGTTTATGGTTTGTGTTATTTATCAGTATAATTTTAATCTAGTTGGGAATATGTATAGACTTTTAAACGCCATATACTACTGGGCCATATTATATGGGATTTTCTTCTTTTGCATATTTGCACATACAATATGAATATGAGGAATAACATGTGTATGTGTATGTGTATTATTTTTATAGGAACCAATTTGGTTTAGGCCAATTCTGGCTGAGGTGCTGAGGGAGGAGATGCGGCTCCTGCCGCAACTCAGACCGGATCCCCCTACCACTACCCAATACGTGAGTTTCGTTTTGTTGTGATAATAATACATTGATCTTTTTTCTCCTATGTTAGTATTTTATCATATATTTTAAATTGACAACTACACTAAAACTCGCATAAGTCGACACTTTTGAGACCAGCATTTTTGTGTCGACTTATGAAAACGACGACTTACGGGCAAGTCGTCATTTTGTCGACTTAATTAAAATGACGACTTAATTATGCGTGTATATCGTCATTTTGGCGATTTACATTTTGGCGAAGCCAGTATTTTGATGACTTGGAGCGTTTCAAGCTGATATTTCGCCAGGCTTCATATCTACATGAATAATTAATATGATCTCTCGGTTGCGTCTCTGCTTTCTAGTGATATATATATGTATATATATATGTATATATATATGTATATATATATATATATATATATATACAGTGCGGCCCCGTTATAGCGCGATCTAACAGCGGCGACTTACAGATAGGAAATTACTGTGTTTGCATTACATCATACATGGGACCTGTCTGAGAGCGCCGACTTACACATAATGATGGCTTGTAAATGATGACTTAGGCGGGGCTATTCCAATGGATTTATTATAAGAGGAAATCGGGACTTTGACTTCCATGTCGGCTTACGCGAATAGACGAGTTAGACGATGACGACTTATGCGAGTTTTACTGTATTATAATACAATTTTCCTTGAATTACATGCTGATTTTTTTTATTTTACATAAATGTTCCAGTCTCTACCTTCTGAACTAGAGGAGGGCTGCAAGGCTTTTGGGGAGTGGAAGAAAGCAACGAGGTGGCTGGTATAACGCGCCTGTTCACACCACAGGAGCTGGCAACATCAAACATAACCGGCAGAAATGGCAAGGAACGCCTGAATGTCCTGAAGGTGGAGGCAATCGTTTGTAAGTTTGAAATTGGCACAGACAAAAACGCTGTGATAATGTTGTATAAATGAATACCATGTGCTATGTAGTAACTTTCACATTATTTCTTGAGCTTAGCATGAGATTTTAGGCTAGCGAAGCCAACTATAGTTATAAACTTTAGATACATTACTCTATACCGTGGATGTATACTAATATAATATAATAGGAAATAATAATATAAATAGAATACTAATATAATAGGAACAACATTGACATTCCAGCCTTCATCTCTGAAAAGTGCAAAATGGAGAAAAACACCATCAGGTATATGATCGGGGAGAAATGTAGAGAGCTCAACATATATGAGAGATGGAAGTAGATGTGTGAATAGTGTGAAGTGTGTTAAGTGTGTGAAGTAGTGAGTGTGTGAATAGTAGTAGAGAGAGTGTGGTAGTAGAAGAGAGTACAATAAAAAAATGATGTTTGTATTATTGTATATGTGTTGTTGTTATGTTTTATTGTAATTGTAAATAAATGTGATAATGTATATATGTATTTTGTAATCTATGTATCTATGAATCTGTGATTATAATAAAGTTTATTCTATTTATATAACTATCTATCTAAGTTCAATCTATATATATCTGCACTCATCAATATACTTGCATCTCATGTACCAGGTAGGAAATTTCATGTATTGGGACAATTACGCTATTGTTGTCTAATTAACCAGCAGGATAATCTTATGTACCAGGCAGGAAATTTCATGTATGGGGACAATAACGTTTGGTTACCAATTAACCAGCAGGAAAATCTCATGTACTGGCAGGAAGTTTCATGTATTGGGACAATAACGCTTGTTTTCTAATTAACCAGCAGGAAAATCTCATGTACCAGTCAGGAAATTTCATGTATGGGGACAATTACGCTTTTGTTGTCCAATTAACCAGCAGGATAATCTTATGTACCAGGCAGGAAATTTCATGTATTGGGACAATTACACTATTGGTCTCCAATTAACCAGCAGGAAAATCTCATGTACCCAGCAGGAAATTTCATGTATGGGGAATGTAACTATTATGTAGGTATTTTACAATTGAAGAATACAGGTAACTTTATGTACATATACCTGAAAATGCTACCCATGAAATAATCTATGGACAATTCCACGTATGCGCCATAACATTTCCTTTAATTATTATGCAGGAAACATGAAATGTTTTCATGTATTTTTCCAAGAGGGGCACCCACCCATCCATCCATCCATCCATCAATCCATCCATCCATCCATCTATCCATCCATCCATCCATCCATCCATCCACCCATTCATCCATCCATCTATCCATCCATCCATCCATCCACCCATTCATCCATCCGTCCATTCATCATCCATCCATCCATCCATCCATCCATCCATCCTGCTATCTATCCATCCATCCTGCTATACATCCATCCATCTATACTTCTATCAATCTATCCATCGATCCATCTATCTATCCAGCCAGCCAGCCAGCCATTCATCCATTCATTCATTCATCCATCCATCCATCCATCCATCCATCCATCCTGCTATCTATCCATCCATCCTGCTATACATCCATCCATCCTGATATCCATCCATCCATCCTGCTATCTATCCATCCATTCTGCTATACATCCATCCATCCTGATATCCATCCATCCATCCTGCTATCTATCCATCCATCCTGCTATACATCCATCCATCCTGCTATCCATCCATCCATCCTGCTATCTATCCATCTATCCTGCTATCTATCCATCCATCCTGCTATCTATCCATCCATCCTGCTATCTATCCATCCATCCTGCTATCCATCCATCCATCCTGCTATCCATGCCATTCCACTCCCTGCTATCATCCATCATCCTTTGCTATCTATCCTTCCTCCTGCGTATCGTATACCATCCATCTGCTATCTTCATCCATCACATCCATTCCCATCCATCCTGCTACTCTATCATCCATCGCTGTTCTATATACCGCATAGAGAGTTGCAACGTGGCTATTATGCAGTGGTAAGATTTACTGTTATAATAATGGTTAACAAGTAATCTGAATCCCGCAAAAATGTCATTTATCATTATTCGTTCACTGTTGGACATCGTCAAGCTTGAGCTTTGCCATGGGTGTCGTCGTCCGTCCCGTACGTTCCGTCGTCCTAACATTCTGGCTACGGCAACGGATAACTCAGGAACGTTTGACCAAATGTTTGAAATTGGGTTTATAGTTGTTACTGCACTATGCTCCCATATTAAACGTCCTATTTTGGGCACGCAAGTCGCACGTACTTTCGGAGCCACGGCATTTTTTTGGCAAAAAATGGGATTGCTATTAGTCAGTTTTAAGGTTAACGGATTTTGACTCTCCTTTTTGGTATGTGATATTGTAGCGGCTAGAGTGTTTTGCTATTAAAAAATTATCGGCAAATTAAGGGTAGGGTTTGCAATTATATTAGCACATATTTATTAGACACGCAGTAACAAAACAGTCTGTGGTTGGTCACACTCGTCTGGTCGTTTTACGAAGGCTTTCTTGACAATATCTTTAATTGCAAATTTCTGCTGATGCACTATTATGATCTATACGGCCTACTTTATTATTATATTATTCTTTATTAATGATTTAATGGATTTTATGCTAAAAACGACAAGCATGTGATAGCGCATCTACCGTCACAAATGTTTTCATTTTGGTTTATAAATTATTTATTTTTTTATATTAATGTTAGTCATTATTTTCACTTAAACAAGCTACACATATAATTATCAAGAGTAGGGGGCTTATGGAGTTCTCCATATTTACTCTTCGTTTCTATAATGTACGTCGATGGCTTGCTCAATTAAGACTGACCTTTTCCACTCGCTATTTGTGTCCTTTTTTGTCTCCGTGAGCTACTAGTGTCATTGACACTTTCATTATTATATGCTGTAGGCGTGTTATTTGCCACTACGCGCAGTGAAGTTCGGTAACTAGACTATAGAGGATAAGACAAGACAAGGTAACGCTGCACTCGTGTTTTTCTCATCTCTAATACGATACATGAGGTCTCAGTGTTACTACGAAAGCGAAGAGCGTTTACTTACACAGTAACCGTATTCGCCTTACCCTTATCAGCGGTGTCCTTGTACAGCGGGAGCTCATAGGTTAGGCTGCCCACTTATTTATCCGTCGTGGCTTCGGACCCACGCATCGCGTTCCTCTTCCACGTCACCGGCCCTCGACTAGTTGTTGACCCCGGACCGCGCCGTCCTTCACGCAGGTGTCATTCAAATTTTTAGCGGCACGCTCCCTCTGTGGCATTAAATCAAAACAGGGAATTACATTAGGGATTCCACTGGAATTCGCTTAGTCTGATTTCGTGAGGCAACAGTGACTGACTTGAACGCGTTTTCCTGGGTTCAGATGTCATTCGTTAACATCGTTTAAATTGTCTTGCTTCTGACGCGCACGAAAAACTATATAACTTGAAATAACTCCTAAATTACCTCATGCTAGCCCACCGCATGCCACTACGATGTGTTACTCGCGTGACGTGCCCTCGGCAAATCCCACGTTGCGGTTGATACAAATACGTGCCTCAAACTCCTCAATGCGCGCCCAGTGTATTCAGGCACATCCATAACATAAAACCAGGCCTCGCATAGCTGAACGCATGCAGAGTATGTCGACGGCAGAGCTTTAGCTGACTGCTGAATGTCGGTTGGTCGAATCCGTCTGTTTTTGTTTGTTTTCTGTATTTTTCTGTGTTATCATTGTCATAATTACGGTGGTAGCAAGCAGATGGCGTGATTTGTTCGATACGAGCGCACGCACGCACGTTGTACGTACGCACGCACGCACGAGCCGCACGACGTGTTACGTGCAGACACCACACTCATGACGCCGCATGCAGCACGGTGTACGTGCGCAACGCCGCACGCCGCACGCAGTCTACGTGCACATGAATTGCACGCCAAGCACGCCACGTGTCCCTACACACACACGAACGTCGCACGCCACACATGCACAACGGTGTACCTGCACACGGCACGCTACGCAACACGCACAACGTGTAAACTTCACACGCGCGCACGCACGCACGTGGTACGGTGCCACCAAGACGCACGCACGCATGCACGCACGGATAGGTTCCAACGCACGCGACGCAGCACATGTTACCGCGATGTTTCAATGTGTAGCGAATTCGACCGCTGCTACAACTCACTATAGCGAGATGCGTCAGCATTAGCTTCCCTGAGCGCTCGCGTTTCGTAGCACGTGGGTAGCAGCCGGTTGGAAATGGAAGCTTGCTGCCCACTTGACCTATCGCTTTTAAGGGGAGGACTGGACGACTGCAGCGCTCACACGTGGGGTCACTGGACTGTAAGCCCGTGGTGTCCCCGGCTGTATATAGCTTGCGGCGTCCAGCTCAAAGCAACACAGAGCCAGCTTGGCACTCAGTCGGGAGCTCGCACCCTCCACTGCCTCTGGAGCTGCTGGCGGCTGCCGACCCTGTAAGCTGTCCATGATAGAGGTGTAGCGCGAGCTCCGTCCAGAAGGCTAGCGGAAAGGATACAATGGCCGATTGATTACACCGCTTGCTTGCCCCCTTCTGACGACAGGCATACCACGCGCGGAGCAGGCTCGGCTTATCAGGGAACTCGCCACCTCTCACTGCCTCGCGCACTGCACGCACGTGTTAAGTTGGCAGCGCACGCATGCATCGCACTGCTACGTAGCCAACGCACGCACGCACGCACGCCGCACGCACGCAGCACGCACGTGTCGTGCTTACATTCACAGTGCTTTCTATCGACATGTGGTCATTCATCTGTAATTGTCAAGCAGCACGCTTTGCTTCTGCCAACCACACACTACACATACACGTGACCTGATCTTGACGTCAGCGTGAAACATCGTATTAGGCCTGCGCGATGGTTGTGTTCGTGTGCATATGTTTGCTATGGATTTAGACCGCTAAATTCTGAGACTGTTTCGCTGGCCAGCAATTTGATCCGTGCGCCGAGCCTTTTGATTGGCGCTAACGGATCATAGCTCCGCGGCGTGCTACTGTTCGTCGGGACTTTCCGCGCGTCGCGTGCGCCTTGCCGCGGGAAACTGCGCGCAAGTTCCGAGCTCAGCGGGAAGGTCAACACCTCTCAGGCGCGCTTGTCTGGGCTATCCGTCTTTCATCTGGTTTTAGCTCCCTCTCGGCCCCACCCGGGCCGTACCATAATAAGGGTGGGCAGTGAGTTTTACCTGCTACATTACAACTACCGAATAAAGGGGGGATAAGCATTTCCCTTGGCTCGGATCTTGTCCGATTTGCCCCATGTGTGAGAGATATCTGCCGTCAGTGTCGTAGGCTGTCGCAATGGCGCAAGGATTCGGCGTTTTCCTGACCGCGGGTCTTCCGCTGACGGCGCATCCGCCTCCACTTTCCTTGCGCGTGCTGGCGTTTCGCCGCTTACAGTATTGCCAGCGGGCCTTCCATTCTCTCGTCGCTTATTTCTATGTGCAGGCTACAAATATACTACCACACCAATATAAGCGCGTGGGGCATGGAAAACGATGGGATCAGGCGCGATGACTTCTCTCGGTGAACTTTCCAGTTTAGCAATTAAATGGATTCCCAGGAGGGGTGTCGGTTAATTTTATAGACACCTATATTATGACACCCCTGAAGTTTAGTTGAGCCCATGTTCCCTGATGTGCGGGATGTTGTGGCGCCCTGTCGGTGCGTGCCACATCCGGGTGTAGATCAAGCTGGAGCCGTATTTCAGCCTGCGCGGCACTCTGTAGGACTGGATCGGAAATAATCTTTACCAAATCACTTCCGGTTTTTCGTCGAGGATTTTGTCGAGTTTTAGTAACTGCGAAAGGAAATGTATAATATTGCTGACAGATCGGACACTGCCAGCTAGGGCTGGGTTTAAGTGGTTTAGGATTATGCGCCAGAAATGACAACCAGTGATGGGTGGACAGAACCCTCGTCAATGAACGTCTTCATTTGTGAACCACGTCTTCTGAAAGAAAGCTTTCTCTTCCAATCGCCAGCAGTGAAGAATATATAGAGAGCTCTGTTGTCATTTTTTTACGATTGATTTGTAAATCTGCTAGTCGGTATGTGCAGTCTTCAGCATACCTGCAAAGTCAACCGTTGACTAATGTCCGTGTCAAAATTGAAGGTTGCGCATCGGCGAAGTGCGATTGTTAGGGAGCCTTGTATTAAAGGCTTTTGGAACCCTGCATTAATTGATGGGGTCCAGAATGGAAGGCAGTTCGCTGGTATTCATGGACGTGGTTGTGGCCAGGCTGGGCTGCGTCGCTTATTTTCTGAAATACGGGAAAACGTTTGCTTGCTATAAACAATTTCACGTATAGGGGGGGGGGCGCTTACACAACACACGCACGCACGCACGCACGCACGCACACAACTAGTTCGATGACCACTACAACACACACAACACCCACCACACAACACACACACACAACCAGTGAGGTCTGGCGAGCTTTCAACGTTCCTGGCTCGCGTATCATGAGTAACTGACGTGGAACGGTCAAACCCTGCCGGCGGGGGGGAAGAAGGCGAGATGTGGTATCACAATGTCGTAGTCATGAAGATATGGCTCAACAACATGCAAACGGCTTCACATGGGCCAGCGACGGGGAGGGAGTGGAGTTGCCAGCATCGCGGTCCGTGGGCGTAGAAATTGGCATACTGACGTCTGCTTACCGTGATTTATTTTTGTATATTATCCATGAGAGTTGTCGTATATATACCCCTGCTATTAGTATATATCTATATATATATCCCCTACAAACCCGCGGATACTACATTATATTTATTATACCCTGATATTATATATATTATATATATTATTATTATACTTATTTATTTATTTTTATACTATCTACTTTTATTATATTATTATTATTGATTATTTATTTCTTTATTATTATTATTTATGTTATTTATACATTTCCTAATCATTATTCGACGTATACGTAGGTGACGTGGGATACGTAGATGAGGATGAATGTTTATACATTGTAGACAGGATTAAGGAACTAATCAAGTATAAAGCCTATCAGGTGAGTTGCCATTCATGCATAACGCCTGTTTGCACGTTGTTTTCTATGAGGCAAGGTCATAATGAAACGTATATGCGGTGTTTATGCGTTTTTTTTCTATTACATTTGCATATATTTGCAACGTATATATATGTAGTTTTATATTTGGGCCTCGTATATGAGTTTTTTTTTATCAAGCGGCAGATTAATAATTATGCTTCAAGTAATTTGGTTCAAAAAAGAATAATTTTGTTGTTTGCTGCGTAGATGCACACATGCATGCGATCTCTGCAATGTATTAAAAATCGTTGCAATGCGTGACTGTAGGTGGCGCCAGCTGAACTGGAGGCGAAGCTCTTACATCATCCTAGCGTGGCAGACGCGGCTGTCATCGGCGTCCCGGACGAGGAAGCTGGAGAACTCCCCAAGGCGTACGTCGTGCGCAGCGACCAGAACCTCCTAGCGGAGGATCTGCACAGCTACCTACGAGAGCACGTGGGGCCGCAGAAGCGTCTGCGAGGAGGCATCGAGTTTGTCAGCGAGATTCCCAAGTCGGCATCCGGAAAAATTCTGAGGTGACAGCTCCGCGCGAGAAACAAGAAGCTGTCGCGTTTGTGAAGCGGCCATGTTGTTTGTACGGAGGCATCGGGAAGGAAATTTCCACGATACAATTCTTAGAAGCTAACAATAAGGCGTAAAGTTATATAAGGTTTGCAAAGTAAACTAATTACGTTTTATACGTGCACTTGTCTGTAATTTTCTTTGATGTAAAGGTATTATCGTCGACGAAAGTATAGTCTTTCACTTACACTGTATTAATATTTTATTGTTTCACTATAAGTTTAACTTAGTGCAGTAGTTTCATGCAGTAATCGTTTACTCTTACATACACCTTAATTATGAAAATGGTAAAAAAATATTATTAAAATAGAATAGCTCAATTATGAATAAACATACTGGAAAATTAGTCGTAGTTTATTTGTCATCTAAAGTGGAAATTAAATCATTGGCTATGAGAAGTGCATTTTGCATAAAGGTAACAAAAAAGACAGCCATGGAGCTATCTAATATAACAAAAACCAGGCAGCTAGATGGTTATAATATAAGTGCTGTTCCGACGCCGTTGTAAAACTGTTTAACGCCTATGATGCCATGATGGCTAAAATGGATAGAAGTTACAGGTGTATGCATGTGCGTGCGTTCGTGCGTGCTGCGCTCATACGTGCGTGTGTGTGAGCGCGTGTGTGCGTCCGTGCGCGCGTGTGTGTGTGTGCGTGTGTGTGCGCGCTGCGCTCGTACGTGCGTGTGTGGGCGCGCGTGTGTGTGAGCGCGTGTGTGTGCGCGCGCATGTGTGTGCGTCCGTGCGTGCGTGTGTGTGTGCGCGCGCTGCGCTCGTACGTGCGTGTGTGTGAGCGCGTGAGTGCGTCCGTGTGTGCGCGCTGCGCGCGTACGTGCGTGTGTGTAAGCGTGTGTGTGCGTCCGTGCCCGCGTGTGTGTGCGCGTGTGTGCGTGCGTGTGCTCGTGCTCGCTGCGCTCCTACGTGCGTGTGTGTATCCGTGCGCGCGCGTGTGTGTGTGCGTGTGCGCGCGCGTGTGTGCGTGTGCGCGCGCGTGTGTGTGCGTGTGCGCGCGTGTGTGTGTGCGTCCGTGCGTCCGTGCGTGTGCGCGAGTGTGTTTGAACGCGCGTGTGCGAGCATCCGTGTTGTCTACAGTGGTCCTAAATGCGCGTGTGATGTGTATTACATGCAAAGAAGCCGCTTGGTCACGTGACCGCTGAAGCTGTGAATTTGTGTGTGTTGACGCTGGCGTGGCATTACTCGAGCAGCCATTATCTGACAATGTTGTCTGTGATTTTATATTCATGGTTATATCTGTTGCGCGCACACACGAAATTTTTGGGACAAATGATTTTGTAAGTATTAGTAGTATATAGTAGTAGTATGTAAAAGTTGTATCTATATGTTCCATTCCATTACATTAGTTTGTATTTGTATTAGGTTGGAACAGCACAATCCTGAAGTAGTAATATATTATATATGTGTATATGTATAGGTTCTAGAATAACCACCTGACTATTACCCCGTACAATTACCCTCCCCTCACCGACCACCAGACAATCACCACCTGACTATTGCCCCCGTACAATTACCCTCCCCTCACCGACCCCCAGACAATCACCACCTGACTATTACCCCCGTACAATTACCCTCCCCTCGCCGACCCCATCCAATCACCACCTGACTATTACCCCCGTACAATTACCCTCCCCTCACCGACCCCCAGACAATCACCACCTGACTATTACCCCCGTACAATTACCCTCTCCTCACTGACCCCCAGACAATCACCACCTGACTATTACTACCGTACAATTCCCCCCTCGCACAATAACCACCGGAGAATTAACTCCCGTTCAACTACGCTCTTTCCCCGAACAATTTCCCCTCGCACATTCGCCCCAGACAACAATTCCCTGGAGTCCGTGGGTTTATTGGGGGGGTGATTGGAA